CAGCCAGAGTCGACTCAAACAGGAAACATCGCCTCAAAGCATAACAACCTCCCAACATCAACGCTGACCACGTTGGCATCCCCTCGGCCTCCTGCTGATGCGCTTGCAGTCAAGCATTCAACAAGTATTAATGCTGTCGGCCGATAGTTAACTGAATGACCTTGGCTAGGGAGGGGGAACCGGTCATGTCAAAGAGAAGCCCAATTAATTGCTGATCTCGAGGTGACTTCGTCGCTCTAAACTCCAAATAAATCGAAGTTAAATTTGTTCCAAAACTCATTTTAAAACCCTGCGTTCAGGTTAGAATCAAGCCATGCATCAGGTAACTAACAGCTGGTCCATCCTAAACACTGAGAAGATTTATCATTGCCGGTTCCATTTTAATTAAATCGCCTCTTTAATTTACGTTCAATTTGTTTCTATATTTGTTTTGAATTTCTCTTCATACCAGTTCAGGAAAAGCCTGCCTTTACAGTGCCGCGTTTTAATTCGCTTCTTTTTCAGTGCTTACCTATATTTTATTGTAATAAATGTGTTTCAGCCAATTGAACATAAACAATCTTGGTGTGGGGCCATTTACACTCGAATTGGTGCAGGGCATGTTCAAGATTCTACGAGTTCAAAATGATGCGTATGCTCTGTTTCGCCTACATAATCGTCACAGTTTGCAAAATGAAGGAGCATGATCCATCAGTGCATTTTTACTTTAAAAAACGCTGAACCAGTCACATGAGGTCCCATTTAAACTCTCGCAATGACCCGTTAATTAATCTCGCAGAATGTGCAATTTCTTTATCAGTAAGAGTTGACCCGGTGAAAATCTTTTTTCCTCACAATGCAAATTTCGAAAAAAAATAATGTTACATCTACGATTTTAGTAATACGCTGAAGTTATTCTCAAAAGAGCCACGAATACAAATAAGCCAATTCAAATTACTCCAAAAACTGCCGCCGCTCATGGACTGCCAATTTTGCGTTGGATTCAAATGAACCAATGACCTTCCTTTTAAATGGTAATGGTGCTTATGGATACTTAAAAACATTTTTATTAAAATTCACTGTCACTGCAATCAGACTACACACGGAGACCCAGTGCTGCTTCCAGTAACTACACGTTTTGCACATAATTTAAACCGATGTGAAAGAAGTTGAGTTTGGTCGTTAACACCTTTGAATGCGTGTTGACGTCCACATTGATTCGATCAATCACGCCTGAAAGCACAAACAATTTTCACCATTCAAATTGAAGACTGGCACATCGCGTAAACTGTCTCATGTTGGAGTTGTATGTGAGCCGTGTTGATTCACGCTCAACAATCCGATTGCCCCATTCCCCTTACACAACACCCCCTTTACACAGCATAAAGTCAGCCATGGGGAACCTCAACTCACGCCGGACTAACGCGGATGTTTATCCAAGATTATCTCTGCGTGTAGTAACATGCCCTTGTAAGTCGCGATGTTAGCACACATCTGAGTTATAAATACACACGCTCAAGCGCCACACAGTCCACACAGACATCAGCTTGGTTGAGATGTGGAATAAACGGTGATGTCTCGCTCACTGTGGTCTCCCCAATGCTCGCTGCTATTGGGGAAACGTAATTGGTTTGAGACCACATGTCGGAGACCACACACAATTTGATTGTATGAAAAGACAATGAAGGATTGCTATGTGTTGCATGGAGCGAAACACACAGATCCAGTCAGGGTGTACATTTCGTTTGTAAACCGTTGTGCAATACGTGGCTTCGTGTAGGAACACGACACCATCTCCATGAATTTCGATTGTAGTCAGCTGCTGCGTTTACCGAGGTCGCCATGACGTGGTGCAAGACACATCGCGCATGGGTATTCAAGATGAGGTGGAGCATTGAGACACAGACACTGGATGTGCTGTAGAGTCGAGACACACACACACACATCTACCGGCAGGGAAATCTGTCGTGGATTGATAAGACGTGCGTTGGACACATCCCATCCATTGCTGATTTGTGCACGCTCGCGCGTATTGGTGGTCCTCCATTCAGAACCACGGCACGTGTTCGTCGTCGTCTTCGTCGTGGAGAAGGCAGAACCACTCCACGAATCACTCCACAACTCATACTCATCAGTTGTGGATGTGGACATGGGTGGGTCCACGGTGTCTGGTGGTGGTGCCACACATGTTCCCACTGGCATTCAGCCGAAACCTGCACTAATTAAGGCAGACGTGATGTGGTCAATATCATTGCCTGTGTCAACAGGGACCGGACACATGAAGAATTCCAGGTGATGTTTGCAGTGAAAGCAGCCTCATTGCCCAGGCACAGGAGGCATTGTTTGTCATTGTGCACAATGGCGATTTCTGGAATCGCGCATGATGTGAAGAGAGTAATTTGAATGCATGGAAAAATGCCATTTGAAATTGCAGATATTGATGCTTCAGGAATGGGTTGCTTCACGAATGCCAACATCTGCACCTGAAATCTGCTACTTCTGCTGTTTTCAGCTGTTGTGCCGCAATGACACTACCTCTGCTTCATGATCTTAAAAACAATGCAAACTGAAACAAATGATGTGTTTTAAGACACAAGTAGCGAAGTTCAGGGTATTCAGGAATACGCAATGAAATTTTCAAACATTGAAATCATCAATGGTCTCGCTACTATGGCCACCATGTCAATTCATTCATGCACAACATGTTGCGTCCGATTTCAGTGATTTACACAAACCACTCATTTACAGTTACACTCGAAACTGCGTTAGTTTGAACAGTTGGGGACTTCAACCACCCCAATGACAGTGACTGCAAAGCGCGTTAACAGGAGGCCGAGGAGATGCCAACGTGGTCAGCGTTGATGTTGGGAGGTTGTTATGCTTTGAGGCGATGTTTCCTGTTTGAGTCGACTCTGGCTGATTTGAGCGTTACTCACAGTGGCCAGAATCGAGGTCTCGTGTCTGGTCGGGAATGTTGTCGGCCGAGTGGTCTTTTGTTACGCTCTACCTTCCGCCGCCACAGTCGCCGCCACCACCACCACCGTTGCCACTGCCACCGCTGTGGACTGGACGTTTTTTCCTCTAGACAGCGAGTGTGTGTGTGCGGCAGAAAGCAATTTCGCAAAGTCCACTTTTTGTGTCATTTGGGTTGTACTCAAAATGTGGCTGCCAGAGTGTAATGCCACACCATCACACCAACACAATGCACGTTTGTTGCGAGTGCGCATCCAGCGCCTCCAAAATTCGCGTGGTTCGCCCGACCTTAACGCCACACAGGGTGACTGGCCACGATTTGCACCAAATAGCTGTTAACCGGTCATAATTCTGCCTTAACACGAGCATTTTGTCATAACCTGTGACGACTTGGCAGAGAGCGTTTGGTGAGTCGGCGGAAGTTGCCTTGGTCATTGGCGTGGTGGCACACCTGGACGGTGTATGAGTATTGAGGTAGGAGAAGTCTGCAAATCCCAAGGAACTGGGAGCGCAGCAGTTTCATTCAAGTTGACTTCTCTCCAAGTGCATCATTTGTGGCCTTGTTGCCGCACTTCAATCAGGCCTGTTTGTATTGCCTTGCGTGGAGTAGCAGTGATAACATCTTTGCCTACTACACAATAACAATTGCACCAATGTCAATTCGACTGTCCCGTCTGGGCCTGGCAATGTGCTACACGATTTTCGTAATTTGTGCACCATCACACGAGAACTGTGTGAATTGTGAGGATATCCGATTTGGGCATGAAGGTGGTGACATGTTCTGACCTCCAAACATTCAATGATTTTTGTCATTCATTTAAATGAGACATTTGGCTACATTCATGCCATCGTGTTTGAGTGTGATGATTAGTCTCTTCTTTTGAACCTCTAGGCACGCGGCGTGTGTGCAAGTGGGTGAATGAACCCTGATCGACAAATTTTCCGGCGTTGATTGGCTGGCCGCCACGAATGCTGATTCTATTTTTCGAATTGTCGATTGAATACTCGATTTGTTTTTGAATCCTGGAGGTAGAGGTATGCAACAAAGCACAGAGAAAGAGTTGGCGAGGGGTGGATGAGAATGTTGATTGCCATCAAGCCTCGTAGTTAGTGTTCGTTGGAGAGGAATGCAAGGGAGTGACACAGTGCCTCCTGTTGACTTTCTGGTCTGGTGTGATGACTAAGTCATTTCGGCATGTGCTACTGCATGATAGATGCGCAGGGCAGTGCGTGTGTGTGTGTGTTTGGGCAAGATTAGCGTGAATGCGCGTGGCATTATTCGCGCGTTGAAGCCACTAACCACCTCTACCGCCTACACAACCCTATAGCAACACAAATTGCATTCACCTGATGCCAATCCTTCAACACTGCGCTGCAGAAATGCGACTTCTGGTTCACCTGCGCGGAGTGCCTTGTTGTGGGCCGAAAAGAACAGCTATTAGTTGTAATCGTTAAGTGCAAATGGGAAAGGCCAAGCGTCACCATCTATGTCTTGACGCACACACCACTTGTCCAGTTGTGCGTCTTCGAAGCCGTGGCGTAGGGTGTCTGGTGCAAGGTGACGACGATGCCCCACACACCCACTGCATGTCATGAGGTTGTCAGAGTGGCGATGTGTGTCTTGGCAAACGGGGTCTCTAATTAGTCCCCCAAACACCAATCTGAGACAGTCACCACGAGCGTTAATCCTGGCGGGGAAGTGGTTTCGGTTGGTTGGAGTTGGGTTAGGCTGTAATTAACGTAGACGAGAAATAAGCTGCAATTACCCTGCCCTTCAATCTTTGTTCAGTAGTGTTCTGCGAACTCTTCGCTGTGTCTCCACCACGCGTTCGTGTTTGCAGAATGCTGAGTCGAAGTGGTGTCGCAAACGTCACGTCTGGCAATCATCCGCGGTGTACCAGACAGATGGGAGGTCTGGTGGTGTAGCCGTGGAACACGATTCTTCTACGATATGGCAAAGCTGGCTGTTCAAGGCATCAAAACTACTGTGTTGTGTGTCGAGATGTGGCAAGTTAATGCGATTAAGTCAATGAGATCAGCGATGATGAATTCGTTGTGATTAGGCTCGAAAACGGATTCGCGTGGACCCGCTTCGAGCAATCCAGGTTGCTCGTCTCGCTGGTTTTCCTTTGTTCACTCTCGTTTGCGATGTCTGTCTCAGCTGGATCGTCAACCATCAACTGCATGTTAAGTGGCCAGCAGTTGGCTGCTCTAGTGAAAGAAGGTGACATCGCGCTTTTGGAAATAAAGAGGATGGCAAGGGGACACAGGTGTGATTTCTAGCCAACAATCTAAGCGTCATTTGTTTGTGGTAGAACCCTAAATGCGCACCTTACGTCGAGAATGACCGCAGTAATCGGGTCTGGGAGTTGACTGTGTTCGGAGGGTGAATTGCCAACTGACAGGTATCCCCACTTACCGACCATACTAGTGGTTGTTTTGACATTTGGGGCTGTCATCAGGAGTCGTTTGTGGACGGCTAAAGGCACTGATGTGAGGCAAATGACGGCGCCTGGTAATGCGCTGGTTAGGCTAGGCCATTAGTCGGACAGTAGCTCGCGAGCCCAGTTGGAAATATTGTTTATGGTGGCTTGAAAACTAGACAGTCCGAGTTGCCAGACAGCACGTTAGTTGCACCTCCTTCCTCCAGACTGACAGCGTCGACTGAAGAAGACTGGTTTGTCAGACGGGTGCATCGTTAATCTTGCCCAGCAGCCAATTTAGTCACACACGCACTGCCAGCGTGTCTGCACTGCCCGCAGTCCCACTATCGTCCTCGTTTTAATTCACAGTGGACTGTCTCGTTGTGTTCTGATGAACTTCCGCTCAATTCGTGCGTGTTGTCAACCTGGTCAACGCGTCAGTGCAAGGGAGTTGTGTGCGTAAACTTCCGTGCACGAAGTAGCATTGCACGACATTGTCACTAGGAGCACGTGTGTAGCGAGGAAACAGGAACCGCCAAACAACGCATAGCGTGGCGTGTTTGTGCGCGTCACGTGAATCTGAGGCTGTCAAGACGCTTTTAGCAGGGCATTTACTGCCCAGTGTTTGTGACAGCTTTCTGAGCACTTAGTGTGTCTTCTCATGCCTCGATGGAACCATTTGTGAGGTGTCCCATGAGACCGTGCTTTTGTCTTATTGAGGGAAAACAAAGCAGCGCTGTTGGCTCGTTTAAATCAACCAGATAATTGTGGTCTCCAGCAACGTGGGTTTGGTGTGAAGAATGCGTTGTTGTTGTTTTTGTTGCAAAATCATGTGGTGAATTTGTGATTCTTGAAATTGTGTGGCAAAGAGGCGCCACGGTGCTCGACAGGCTTCTACGCCGCCTCACGTCAAGGAGTCCAAGTTCATGACAGTGGTGTTGAAGCAATGATGCAGGTACTTGTTGTTGTGTAGCATGACCGACTTGTCGAAGGAGCATTTGGAAGGAGTTGAGGTGGTTTGTAAGATGAGCGCATTTATATGGCAGTCTTGCACGCAGACTGAGATGAGGAGGCAGTCTGTGTGGTTGGTGTAGCTGTAACTTCTGATGTGCTGGCTTCCTCCGTTAACTGTTATCGAGGCAGACAATGATGCACAACCAACATATCGATAACAAAGCTCAGTGTCTGGCCATGTGGATCCGATTTGGGGATTTGGCCACCCCCTCACCTCAGCCGTGTCTTCTCTGTGAACGTCATCTGTGATTGACCATTCCACTGGTAATTGGGCTCGTTTTGATGGTAGACAAGCCGCGTTTTGCCACTTTCCTCATCCTCTCCGTCACTTCCACACGAAGAAGTCCTGCTTTATCCGTGGAGGCAGAGCAGTATGCATTCCTTCCTCTGTTTTCCGAAATGCCTCAGATTCACTTTATACATGGGATCACGTGCAACAAAATCAACACTGACCAAATCGCCATAGTTACCACGTAGCTCAGTCCAATGTGTGAACACCATCACTAACAAAAGTGCAACATTTTGGCTGCTGCTAAAATTAGATCTTATTTCTGATCCAGTTCTTTACCTGTTATTCTAGTTCATAATCCTCGTATAACCGACATTATTTCTTCCGTGGAACTAGCACAATCTCTACGCCGCCATATTTTTAGTAATCAGTCTCGTTTATTTTGCACAACTAGATAAATTTTGCAAATACGCACATGTCAATGCCAAATGCACAAACTCCGAAAGATGCGCAATTTAACTGACAAATATTGTCGGTCCAGAGGGTTGCCTGTTTTTGGCCAGACAATTTGTACAAGAATATTGCTAATGGCCTTGTGTGAGCCAGAATCATTTCGCAGTAAGATTACCTTATTCCGCAGAACAAATCACCATCTTTTTTTATGCTGCAGTTATTTGCCACGACTTCGGGCAAATAACAGGCTGTTTATGTGATTGTAACTTGTGCAGTTGGTTCGAATGGTGCGTTCGTGTCCTCTACATCCACGTAAACGAAGGACCCTGTTGACCGCATTTCCGGCCAATAATCGATAAGTAGCTGAAACGTGTGCTGTTTCACAGACCGTCGATTTAACCGCTTGTGCCCTAAGAGCGAGTGAAAGATTTTCTAGGGGGGAATTAATGGTCATTCCACATCGGTAGCGTGCAATCACAGATCTCGTCTTGTCACGTAACTGCTCATCGGTGTGGGTATTTTTATCGATCGTGTTTTTGACTGTTACTCAACGATCGACTGCGAGGTCGAATCAAGGTCTCAATGTGATTAGCTGAGTTTATAAAGCCAAACAAATTTTTGCGTGATGGGACCTGTTTCGTGTGCTACACATTAACTTCAAAGGTTAATTTTTATCAAAACATTAAATTGGGGCTCTTTATTAAATTCCATAAAACGGCCTTTTGAAGTTAAAGAATGATTCAACTCTTATCTAGATTAATTCCATAAATGTCCTCTTTGAAGGCTCGTTTTTTAATTAATTATACCATTGTTTTAAAGCTGTTTATTTCAAGGCATGTTGGGACATTAAAATGACTATTCTTATTTATTCAAGATAATTTTTTTCCTTTGTTGCTGAACACGACCATGTGATTATAGTATTCAGCTATGGACAATACAAGATAGTTTACTTTAAAAAATGTCATTTATTTATTATACGATTGCGTTTAATGTTTTGGTTTAATCAATAAATACGTCGTACAGTCAGCACACAAAATACTGTTTAAATTTTTGGCCTAAAAAGCAGCCAATCATATTCCGAGAAATGTGTAGAACAGTTTAAACCAATTTTTTCGAATTGCCTTCGATTGCCTTAAATTTTATGACGAACTAAATCGGGTTTCTAACCACCGTTAAATTGAAACCCTTGAATAAATTAATCAAAGTCGGAAATTTCACGCCTCTTCTCAAGGGACTTAGTCATTGTTAATTTAGTTTATGCAATGCATGTCTTGCTAATTGTGCGTTTTGACCTGGACTGCTTTCCGCAATCAGCTAAACATATTCGTGTCATTTCGGCACGCAAACCGATGCGTAGTAAATGCATGCACATATACACACACACACACTTACCCAGAGGCACAGAGATAATTAAGGTGGCGTGAATAGATGCATCCCTCTCTAAAAGAATTTCTTTTCTGGTCGGCATTTTTTTGCTAAGCCGATAATTTCACTAGAGCAAAGGCACAGCTAGCGCGAACGCCCAATATCTGGGTTGTCTAGTTGCGCAGTTACGATGGCCGCTTTCCCGGACACCGTTCCACAATGCGGAAAGGCGTCTGAAAACTAGACTGTCTGGTTTCATGTGAGAGACCGAAATTAACTTTATTTTCAAAAGATAACTCTGCCATGTTTGCTTCGACGCAAATTCAAACAGGAAACCCAGGGTGTAATGCACTTCCGCTAACTGCCTCGTTGGAATAGTATACAGCATGAATTGTGGGACTCGTCATTTGTTTAAATGACTACATGGCTGGTTTTCATTGGTCGGTACTTTCATTGACTTACTGATGACTTGTCAATGAATAATCTAGTTATCTGGAAGACGCAAATGTGGTAAATTTTTCAGGAATTCAATGGCCTTGACGTATACGAAGCCCTTACTCTATTGGTCTAGTCTAGCAGTTACGGGACCCTAATGGTCAATACGGCATGTGCTTAACTGATCCGTGATCAACACAGTTACCATCCCTGAATCGATCGACAACACGAGCATATTCGTTGCCTGCATTCACCACGACTTTTGTTCCCACCGAAATGTATTTTTTTTCTAAATCAGACAGACTGATGAGAGTGTGTCTGTGCGCTCGTTTTTAAGTGCTGTCTCGAAACAGGGTCGTCTGGTTCCACGAAATCGGAGCCTGGATATCTCACAAACGTGGACCCAGCAACTATGGTAATTGCGTGTGCCTGTGGGGTTGTGAAGCAGCCCTTTATAAATGCCTTTTCTCTAAGTTGCTGCAAGTGTGTGTGAAAATGTGGAGTCACAGGCCTGATTATTCAAATGAGATCACAACGTGCATTTAAAGTAGCTATGTGGTTTGTCGCGTTTTCCGTGGCAGATTTAAACGAAATACTGGCCAGACTAAGGCCACAAGCTACTTTTAGTCAACTCAACCAAAAGAGGAGACGGGATTCACACTACCCCTTGCGACGCCAAATTACAAGCCCATTTCTGGTTCTCCACTTCAATTTGTACAAAATGTATCGTGTGAATGTTACTCACGACAGACTGACATTAAACAGAAATCAATAATCAACTGAATAATTGGTGTATTCAGTGATCTGTCCCGAGCCCTTCTTAAAGACCCTAAAACTCAATTTCGTCCTAGCCAATCAGGAACTGAATTGGGTTAGGGTGTGAATTTTGTCAATCATTACGCGGTATTCCTTTACAAAATATTAACTTGTGTTTCGTGCCGTTTAGTGGATAATTTGTATCAAACATCGCCTCTTTCTTTTAGACCGGTCATGTGATTGACACGATT